TGTTAATTCTTTCGTAGAACCAGCTTTTAGCTGCGTTTATCTTTTGTATTGTTCTCTTGTCTTCCCACTGGTTCAACTCTGCCCTGATTTTTATTATTTCTTATTTCAAATTTGTTTGAAAATTATATATGGCTAAAGAGTTGTGTGAAAATGTCAAATTGACAAGGAATAGTCTGTGGTAGTTACATAATCTGGTGCCAACTTGAGACTAATAACAGTGAAGGGTTGGAGTTTAGCCTGTCAATTAGGTCGCTGCTTGAAGACCTCATTTGGAAGCACTAAGGAGATAAATAGCTCACTGGAGGTGGGATTCTGACATTTTCTTCTATGTCTTCTGTGTCCTGCTGACAAGTCACATAGAGCTATGCTGATGGAAGCCAGAGCCTTAGAGCTGGAGGGGCCACGTGGAGACATATGGGCTAATATTGGACTTATGGACTCGATCTGGACTGTGCTGGGATGTTTTCTAAATATACAATTACTCTTTTATATAATACTCTTTCTTATATACATATGAGTGTTCATGAATTTGTTTCTCTATTCAACCCGGACTAACAAAACCTCATAATAAGTATTGATCTTTCTATATTCTCTTTTATTTTTTAGTAAACATTTATCTAATGTCTGCTATATGCTGTTTACTCCTCAATGTGTTCAGTTTATAGAAGTTAGTAATAGTTGCCCTACTAAATTTAGAAATTTATAATAAGAAAAATGTGGGCTCACATAAAATGATGTGAAAGTCAATATAGAGTTTTTTTTGAGAAAGAGTGGAAACTACATAGCTTAGAAGTAGAATTAATATTCATGATGTGTTCCTAAAAAGAAATAATGCTAAGACTTTAAAAATGCAAGGATTTCCTCCAGTGGGCAAAAAGGCCAAGGATATTGTAATTTAACCAATACCAAATTGGGAAATAGCATGTCATGTTATTAGAAATAGTAAGCAGTTGGGGTTGACTGGATAAGAGATCATTTAAGTGAATGGAGAATTATTAGAATGGAAAACTAAATAGCAGGTATATTATTAATGATCTTGTTTATTATACTTAGAATTTTCATCTTTAAATTTTGGGAAAAAATGAAATGTTCTAAGCAGGAAAATTATATTTTCCATTGTGAAGACTAGATTTAGATGAAACCAAATATCTCCCATAAGGGCCAGTTACAGGGCAAGAAAAAATGAGTAACTAAACCCGGGCAATATGTATCTTACACTTTTCCATCTGAAACATATCCCTTATTGGATGTCTATTGTTTTTTTTGCAACCAAATTTTCACATAGAGTCATAATGTACAGAAGAGATCATTTATGATCTTAAACCCATCATTATTTATAAAAATTATGCTGAATTGATTTGGGGCCAAAGATGAAGAAATTGAAGATTCCCCCCACCCAATTCTGGTGATTTGAATGGGGAAGTTATAAGCCAAGAGGAAGGATCAATAATTGGAAAATATGGCTTTGTGATAGAAAAGAAGCTAGATAGAAAAGCATTTTGACAAGTACCTATTACTAACAAAAAAATAACCATGAATGTATTTTGCTGGATATAACAAACAAAACCATTGACCTTATGTATGTCCCATTTCAATGTAAAGATCATTTAAATAATAAAAATGATTCATTAAACATTAATGTCAAATGTCCAGATGAGTTGTGGGATGACATCAAGAACACCATGATTGAAGAAAGCAAAAGGTCATTAAAACAACAGGAAAGATGTAAAGGATCAAAATGATTGTCAAAATAAGCGTTCCATGTTATTAGAAATAGTAAATGGTTGGGTTTGACTGGATAAGGGATCATTTAAGTGAATGGAGAATGATTAGAATGGAAAACTAAATAGCAGGTATATTATTAACGGTCTTGTTTATAGAGTTGCTAAAGTGAGTGGGAATTGTAACTGCAGCGCACTTCCTCATGCTCACTCAGAACTTGTACACAGATCGAGAGAACAGAATGAAAGCACTGTACGGTTTACAACCAGGAAAGATGTGTGTCAGGGTTGTATCCTCTCACTATATATGCTGAACAAATCATCAGAGAAGCTGGATTATATGAAGAGAGTAGCATAGCATAGGAGGAAGGCTTATTAACAACCCCACTTGCTGAAAGTGAGGAGGAATGAAAGCACTGACTGATGAAAATCAAAGACTGTAGCCTTCAGTATGGATTACAACTCAATATAAGGAAGACCAAAATCCTCACAACTGGACCAATAGGTAACCATGATAAACAGAGAAAAGGTTGAAGCGGAGAAGTATTTTGTCTTACTTGGGTCCACAACCAATGCTCATGGAAGCATCAATCAAGAGATCAAAAGATGTATTAAGTGAGCCTCCTGCGCAAGACCTCTTTAGAGTACTGAAGAGCAAGTGATGTTTCTTTAAGGACTAAGGTGTGCCTGACCCAAAGCATCATATTATTCATTGCATCATATGCATGTGAAAGTTGTATATTGAATAAGAAAGATCGTAGAAGAATAGATGCATTTAAATTGTGGTGCTGGAGAAAAAATTGAAAGTATCATGGACTGTTTAAAAAAATCCAAACTGATAGTGGGGAAAAGGAAGCACCAAAGATCTAGAGGAAAGTTGTGTGTTTCATCAGTGCTATACTGCACCCTGCTTGGCTCATTCCCCCTCCTATCATGACCTCAATTCTACCTTACAAATCAGATTAGACCAGAGCATGCACACTGCTACAGATAAGAGCCTGAAACACAGGGGATCCAGGATAGATAAACCCCTCAGGGCCAACAATGAGAGTAGAGATACCAGGAGGATTAGGGAGGGATGGGGGAATAACCTCCTCCCAGGGGGATGAACAAGAGAAAAGTGGGTGAGGGGAGACAGAGGATGATGTAAGATATGAAAATAATAATCTATAACTTATCAAAGGTTTGTGTGGGAGGGCAGGCCGGGGAGGGAGGGGGAAGAAATGGGGAGTTGATATCAGGGGCTCAAGTGGGAAGAGAATGCTTTGAAAATGATGATGGCACCATATGTGCAAATGTGCTAAACACACTGGATGAATGTGATAAGAAATGTAAGACCCTCCAATAAAAGTATTTAATAATAATAAAATAATAAATGATAATAATAAGAAGAAAAGACAAACTGATTTGTATTGGAAGAAGTGAGCCAGAGTGGTCCTTAGAGGCAAGGATGGCAAGGCTTCGTGTTACATATTTTGGACATATTCTCAGGCAACACCAGTGGCTAGAGGAGAATATCATGTTTGGTAAATAGAGGGGCAGCGAAAATGGGAAAGGCCCTTGACAACATGATTGATAGAGTGGCTGCATGAATGGGTTCAGTCATGGGAATAATTGTGAGGATGGTGCAGGACTGTTCAGAGTTTTGTTCTGTTGTGCATAGGGTTGCTATGGAGTGAAATCAATTCGATGGCACTTAATAACAAAAACAACAAAATGAATAGAAAAAATTATAAAGTAAAAGAGATGAAGATTTCAAAGGACAGTTCAAGAAGACAAAGTAAAGTGTTATGATGAAATGTGTAAATTTAGAAAAATAAACCAAATAGGAATCCTTAACATCTTTCATGCTGTAAGAACTGAAGGAACAATTTAAGACTGAGTTGCAACATTGTAAATCCTATGAACAAAATACTGATTGATGCAGAATGCACAGTCACTGTATTTAAAAAAATGTTCAACTTTCAAACATTTCATAAAATAGCTTGAGCTCAAGAACCAGTGTTAAAGTGGGAAAGCACAAGCTGTGCTGAGGAGAGCGGCAGAAAAGAGGGCTTCAGGAATTGATGGAATACCAACTGAGATAAACAGATACACTACCAGAAATACTCATTTATGCTAAGGAATTTGATACGCCTGGCTGACAAACTGGAAGATGTCCTCATTTCTGCCAATTCCAAGAAAAGATGATCCAAAAGTATTTAAGTTTTTTCTAATGATACTAATATTAATATTAATTGCGATAAATAAATGCAATTTTATTAATTAGTATGAAAATACAATTTTGCTGAATTAAAAACTGGTTCAAACTAGGTTTAGACACTCCCTCTTGGAGCAGACAATGCACAAAGAGAATCGTAGGGTAGGTCTCCCCATGAGACGCGACATCCCCTTACTGACTCACAATGCTAGAGGAGGTAGCACCAGAGACACAGTGTGGGAATTGTGCCCGGTGTGACCCCATCCTCCCACACACACCAGGGTGTAACACGAAGGGAGCAAAATAGAACAGCAAGGGGATCAAAGCAAAATATCCCAGAAATATTCTGAAAATAAACTTCAGACT